CCACAGTAATCCGCAAGACGGCTTCCCTCCCCTTTCCTTCCCCCTCCTGTTTTGATTTCTGCTTCGGGCCGCCGACTCGCTGCGCTGCAAGGCCGCAGGGACCCTGCCGCTGTGGCCCCGGCGGGGGGGGGTCGTCGCAGGGGCCGCCCAGATCGGGGGAACTCCCGAGGGATTCCCGAGGGAGCAGTCACGCGGAGGAATCACCTTCGGTTTCTTCCGGATCACTGGGAAACCTCACTGTCTTCTTCCGCTTCTCCACCACGGGACCGGAACCCCCACTCCAGTCCACTCCAGTCCACTCCACTCCACTCCACTCCACGACAGACTTCCAGTTCTCCTTTTTGTTGTTGCTCTGCAGACTTTTAATTTCACTTCTCTTTACAGGCGTTCCGTTATTTTCCAAGGAGGACAATTTTAAAAAAGACTTTGCTTTTCCGAAGGCGCTCGCCCCGATCTGGGGCTCTCTGTCCGACTCTCTGCGCTGGATCGTACCCGCAGATCCGCTGTGTCCCCTGCTCCGGATCCGCAGTCTGATGCACTGGGTCTGGCGCGGGAGGCGCAGGTTTCTGGACCAGGGACCCGGGCTCGAGCCGCAGGGAGGTGTGGAGGCGAGGCCGGAGACCCGGGGGGGAGTTCGTATCGGCTCATCCCCTTGCATGCTCTCGGTTCCTGTCCGGACTTTGGGGATTACGAACGAACGCTCTTCTGTTTCCGTTCAGGTTGACCTTTTATTTTCGTTTGTTTTTTTTTCCCGATTTGAAAGCGCAACTTGTTCTTGAACTTGTTTATACACTGTATGAACTGCACATGAGGCTAAAAGAAAAAAAAACTTGAAGCCGGTGTTTGTTGCTTAGCATGACCTGCACAGTAAACTTTGTACCTATTTTTGTTTTTTAAAAAAAGATGCAGTTATTTCTCCATTCCTAAATTCCCGCCTGGGTAGCTCGCACGATAGAATTTCCGGCAACTCTGCCCATTTCCTGGTGTAGCTGTGGCCACACCCTCCCTCACCTGACCTCCAATCACAGTCCTGCGGCTTTGAGAGTCGGCCTTAAAAGGAAATGGGGGGCGTGTCCTCTTCTCCTAGGTTAGGTCACTGATGAATGCAATGGAGTCACCTAGGGGCTCAGCTGGAATGCAGACAAGAGGAATCCACTGAGGTTGTCCAGGACCAGAGTGGACACCCCTGTCCAGGCAGTCACCTGAGACGAAAAGGACAGGGACCCACCCAGGGACAGCGCTGAGCTCATCTCATGGCCATAACCAGCCAGCGCTCTTCAAGGCTGTCACAGAAGATAAGACTCAGACAGGAGGAGCTTCAACAAGGCAATCCAGAGAGAGACTCCCATTGCCCAGCAGGCTGATCCGTTTCAGGTTTTACGGCACAGCCCCACGGAACTCGTAACTTGGGCGAGAGCCTGTCGTGTTCCGCTGCCAGATCAGAAACGGACCGAGCTGCTGGTCAATGAGGCTTCAGCTGTCCCGGTCCAGGGCGGGTCCTGTTTCTGCAGTCTCACGAGTCCCAGAACCTCAGAGTCAGACACCCCCGTCAGGCGCAGTCAAACTGCTAGACCTCCTCGCGCTGGTCCTGTCCTCCTGCTGCAGGAAGCGAGGCCCTCAGGATACACCTGCCTGCGAGACAGCATTGTTCACCACCGTCTGAGATCATACTGATGCATCACGCAGCTCAGAAGGAGAATCATTGCCTCGCAGTCGCGGTGGGTTTGCCTCCAACCTGTCAGATCATCCTCCCTCTGTCTCCCAGAGTCCCCTCCCTGGCCTCCTGTCCTCTCCCAGGCTCCTCCAGGGCTCCTGTCTGATCCCAGTCGCTGCACAGAGAGAGGCTGCACTCCCACAGACCTGACAAATGAGAAATCAAAGACAGTGTCAGGCTGAAAACGCAGACGAGCAAACAGAGCAATCCGAGAGGAACAGAATCTTCTAAGGCAAACCATATATACGCTCTTTGTTTCTTTGGAGATTCATTAGAGGTCGTTTTATTAGAGTTCACTAAAGGTGTTTCAGGACATTTCACTGTACTGTTCTCTGACCATGTTGATAGATGCACATGCTCTCACGTGTGCACACACACACACACACACACGAGCGCGCTCAGGCACACACGCACACTCACTTACACAAACACACACACGAGCGCGCTCACGCACACACGCAAACACATGCATGCACGCACACAGTCACACTCACTCACACAAACACACATATACACACACACACACACTCACTCACTCACTCACACACACACGCACACACAGCACGGTGAAGTTCCAAGAGCTCGGTGACACAGCGAGTGGGAGAGAGGAGGAGAGCTGATGCAATCTGTGCTCACTTTAAACACACAAGTGTCTTGTCAACAGCTCTGCGCCGACAGGAGCGGCTCTCTTCAGCGCACTAACACAGCGGGCCGGGCCGGGCCGAGCCAGGCTGGCCAGAACCGGGCCGGGCTGGCAGGGGGGGTGCTTAGCACATCAGCTGTTGCATAATCCCAGTGCCATGGGGCTGCAGCCAGACCCCCCAGCACCGTGTTATTGATCGTCACTGCTGAGCACTGCACTGTCAACCCACACATGCCCTGGGATTCCCAGACTCACGTATTTCCACCAAACTGGGTTTTATTT